GCGAATTTGATCTGCTGTCGCGCGCGGATCAAAAACGAGTGTTTTTATGCAACGGTTTCAAAACTGTAGTATTTTGTAAAACGATAATATAGCGACAAATGGCTCGAATATCGTTCTCAAGGATTCTTGAAATATTATTAACTAACTGAAATCGAGTTAAAGGGGGGGGGGGGGGGAGGGGGGGTTGGTTCGATTTTAGGAAAATAAGCTGATTATGAAAAGTGTTTATAAAATAAGTTGTTTTTGATATGAGTGATTATAACAAACGGATTCACTGCCTCGGTTCGTACCTATCATCGACTGCTAACATTACAATCTCCTAAGCGAAGTTTCTATCCTATTTGATTACAATATCAATTAACAAGCGCGATTGACACTATGAGATACATGTTCATATGGCCGGATTAAGCATACGGTTAAAAGTGACGCAAATTAACAATTAAGCAAAGTCAATCGCGATTAAAATTTGGGAACATTTATCAATCAAATTAAATCAACAATGTTATATAAAAATCGAATTAAGCAAACAACAATCTCATAACATAGTTGAAAGGAATGGAAATTAAATTGCAAATGCTATAACAATCTCAAAGTTGGAACCTGAGTACAGTAAATCCATCAGAAAGGTTTTAGTTCTCCATTGATTCGTACAATGCTTTCTCTCTTTCGTGAACAGTAAATGGCTGCTGAAAATTCTGTAGCATCTAGGTAAAAACTAAAAAGAAACAACCCAACTGGGTCGGATACAAAACTCAGGCCCAAAACAAATGACCCAAACTTAAATATCAAAAGCTGCAACTTCAACGACTTTTTCAACCTTGCTATATCCCGAATCAGCATCTGGCTACAACTAGAAAGTTGTAGGTCTTTTTCTTAGCTTTCCAACCAATATTAGAACGACTCAATCCGATTCCCGTATCTCCAGTTATGAATTTTTCCGCAAAAGCTACAGTTGCTGAAAATAAAATACGAAAATTAATTAAATGCAAAAATAAAATAAATTAGCAAAACATATTAAAACATTAAAATAAACACAATAAACTAAAGAAATTCATTAGTACAATCGTGGAAGGATGTGCATCAAAATGCACTGATCAGTATTGTTGTACACTGAATTGGGTGAACAATCTCTTGTGTTTTTACTGCTTTTGATTTTACTACTCTTTACTTGTAAAAAAATGTTTGTGTCGTGACATCTCATTCGACATCACATATCTGATACCAGAATTTCAAATCTTTTAATCAAATAACATTGTGATAGTAATTGAATTGTTAGAATTTTTCTCTCAAAATCCTGTTTTTAAAATAGGTGTGGATATAGCTTATAATTAATTTTGATTATTAGTGGTTTTGTATATCAACACCACTCAAAGAGAAATTCTGAAAATTCACTTGCACGCCAAGTGTTTGATAAAACGATCAATTTAGTTCTTTGATTATTTAGCCTTGGAAATAGTATTGCAAAGTGATCGTGTTCAAACAATAAATAAGTGGATTGTTGATTTGAGTTTGTATCAATCTATTACTCATTTTGTCTCATAGATTACCTAACATAATTTGTATATTCGAGTTTCTAATAAATTGTTTTTAGACGACTTATCCAGTAAATTGTTTCCGTATTAAAAAGTTTTGAAGACAAATTAATTTCTAGATTTGTGTATAGAAATATTTTTTGTGCCTCTATTCACGCCCTCTAGATATGTGTCATCGTTTAACATCATCCTGAGGGGTGACACTCCGACATAACCCAATTCGTTGAAGAAAGTGATTAATTGTTTCTTTAGATATAGTTCCTCCTGTGACACATCATCCTCTTTATAGATGCATGACTTGTTCCCCGTTAAAAGTGCCATTGGCTTGAGAACTTACAAAATAAGCTCGTACCTCGGTATTGTAGTCCAACCTCTATGGCACAAATATTCACATGAGTCTCTTTGTTGAGAGGAGTAACTAAAAAGAACTGATTATGTGAATGTTTCACGCCATCGGAATACACTTCAAAATAACGGGTAAATTGCATCAATGTAATCAAGCCCTAACCTAGCACACGATTAATAGTACTACGTTGTACCTTGAAAAGATGAACAAGAGTGACAACGATGGTTTTCCTCCCCGGTAGTCACATCAAATGATTCAGAACTTCAAATTTAAAGGCAATCAGAGATCGAAAATTGAAAAAGTACACTCATAAAAAGGGATGGTGCATCCACTACAAGTCTTTTTTGTCTTCTTCAGAGATTAGTACACCACAGTTGGAAGAAGGATCCACTTAAGAAAATCTCATCTTAGAGACCACCTTCATGAATGAATATAGAAAAAATTGTCAAGATTTCAGGGTCTACCTAAGTAACATAAGTAGATTTCTTCGCTTTTTGATGCATAGTGGGAAGCCGCTCCATTAGTCAAGAGGATATTATGTTGCAAGGAATACAAATGACGAAAGAGCAAGAGTTATGATTAAAGAAACCATAAACTATTATAAAATTTATGGGATGTCTTAATGAAGGAAAGGAAATAGGGATTATAAACAGTCCATATTTCTTCATAAAGACACTCGGGTACTCTATTTCACAAAGGTCATCATGATTAAGAAGGTGAAATAATATCTAAAACATAGGGCCCATTTAAGGCGTGATTTCTCCCATAACAATGACATCACATCGTGACTTTTCACTCAAGCCGGGCAACGAATTATAGAAGAAGACAAACACAACAACCCCCTACAAAGTAGAGGCAAATGCTTGGGGGAAACTGTTATGGATCGACCAAATGACCCAATAATTATGGCCTAGAGAGCACAACGATCCACCGTGTCACAAGTAGAGCATATGTGTTTTCCTAGTCATGAATGCAGGTGATCTCGATCCAAAGACCAGACAGACGAATCTACACATTCCCTGCCAATAGATCAATTAGCGGTTATAACAAATCTACTATATAAGAGATAGATGTGTCATTTTCATGTACCTTTTGAATTCAAATTTCATTCACTCATCTTACTCTTATAATAACTTAAACATTAAAATATGAACCTTGTAGATCAATCCATCTTCCACTATATCAAAAATTCAAGTCCATTGTTGAAATCTACATCCATTAATTACAGATTAATTATAACTTGAACATCAATGTCGATTTTAATCTATGTTGTTAAGTTCACTTAAACTTTTTAATATCTTATAGTATAATATGTTTAAAATATTATAAAAAAGTTCTAATAAAAAATCAATTTTAAATTTGATTTATAAGTTCATATTTATGTCCTCTAGATACGTGTCGACGTGTAACATCATCCTGAGGGGTGACACTCTGACATAACCCAATTTGTTGAAGAAAGTGATTAAATATTTCTTTAGATATAGTTCCTCCTGTGACACGTCATCCTCTTTATAAATGCATAACTCGTCCCCCGTTAAAAGTGCCATTGGCTCAAGAACTTACAAAATAAGCCCGTACCTCGGTATTCTAGTTCAACCTCTATGGCACAAATATTCGCATGAGCCTCTTCGTTGAGAGGAGTAACTAAAAAAGAACTGATTAAGGGAATGTTTCACGCCATCGGAATACACTTTAAAATAACGGGTAAATTGCATCAATGTAATCAAGCCCTGACCTAGCACACGATTCGTAGTACTACGTTGTACCTTGAAAAGATGAACAAGAGTGACAATGATGGTTTTCCTCCCCGATAGTCACATCAAATGATTCAGAACTTCGAATTCAAAATCATTTAAAGGCAATCAAAGATCGAAAATTGAAAAAGAACACTCGTAAAAAGGGATGGTGCATCCACTACAAATCTTTTTTGTCTTCTTCAGGGATTAGTACACCACAGTTGGAAGAAGGATCCACTTAAGAAAAGCGCATTTTAGAGACCACCTTCATGAATGAATATAGAAACAATTATCGAAATTTCAGGGTCTACCTAAGTAACATAAATAGCTTTCTTTGCTTTTTGATGCATAGTGGGAAGTCGCTCCATTAGTCAAGAGGATATTATGTTGCAAGGAATGCAAATGACGAAAGAGCAAGAGTTATGATCAAAGAAACCATAAACTATTATAAAAATTCGTGGGATGTATTAACGAAAGAAAGGAAATAGGGATTATAAACGGTCCATATTTCTTCATAAAGACACTCGAGTGCTCTATTTCCCAAAGGTCATCATGATAAAAATGTGAAATAATATCTAAAGTATAGGGCCAATTTAAGGCGTGATTTCTCCCATAATAATGACATCACATCGTGACTTTTCACTCAAGCCGGGCAACAAATTATAGAAGAAGACAAACACAACAATCCCCCTACAAAGTAGAGGCAAATGCTTGGGGGAAACTGTTATGGGCTGACCAAATGACCCAATAATCATGGCCTAGAGAGCACAACGATCCACCGCGTCACAGGTAGAGCATATGTGTTTTCCTAGTCATGAATACAGGTGATCTCGATCCAAAGACCAATCAGACGAATCTACGCATTCCCTACCAATAGATCAACTAGCAGTTATAACAAGCCTACTATATAAGAGATAGATGTGTCATTTTCATGTACCTTTTGAATTCAAATTTCATTTATTCATCTTACTCTTATAATAACTTAAACGTTAAAGTATGAACCTTGTAGACCAATCCATCTTCCGTCATATCAGAAACTCAAGTCCATTGTTGAAATCCACATCCATTAATTACCGATTAATTATAACCCTCGCGTTGAACATCACTATTGATTTTAATCTATGTTGTTAAGTTTACTTAAACTTTTTAATATCTTATAGTATGTTTAAAATATTATAAAAAAGTTCTAATAAAAAATCAATTTTAAATTTGATTTATAAGTTCATATTTATGTTATTTTTATCTTGAACATGTGACGTTTAAAAACAATCTTCCATAAAAAATTTGAAATAAAAAAAATACAAGATTATATTTGTAGTTTATTTATAGAAAGAGAAAAGAATAAGTGGAGAGTAAGTAAGGGGGTATAGGAAGGTGTGAGCAGTGATGTTAGTTTGTGGAGCAAAATGTGTCTCTCACTCTCCTCATCCTCCTCCATTTCAATCCAGATGCTCAAACCGACCCGCTGTTATTCTCCCGGTCAATTCTCTTTCTCTATGCATATTCATTTTGATGTTTATACTATTATTAACGTTGATTTCTTCAATCAGGGGTTAGGAAACAATTCAGGTGACTACCAGAAATTGGAGGCAACTCTGAACAATAAGTACGGCGTGTCCACCGTGGTGGCTAAAGTATCGAGACTTGACTGGTTCCGAAATGCTGCGGGCTTGATTGATCCCAACTACTGGCGTGGCACTCTTCAACCAAGCCCTGTCCTCGATTGGTATTTGAAAAGAGTTCATGATGCCGTTCAAGAGGCCATTGATTTAGCACCACCAGCTTCCACTTTATCTTTGATTGGCCACTCAGCAGGAGGATGGCTCGCACGCCTCTATATGGAACAATTTGGAGTCTCCAATATATCCTTGTTATTGACTCTTGGTACCCCTCACCTGTTAGTAACTAATTTCAACATTACTTTATTCAATCAATCATCCCTATATATACTTTAATGCTTCTTTTTTGTTTCAGCCCAGCTCCAAAAGGTGTTCCTGGTGTTATAGATCAAACCAGGGGTCTCCTTGATTATGTTGAACAATATTGCTCTAAGCCTGTTTATACCCCGGAACTCAAATATGTATGTATAGCAGGAAGGTATATTGAAGGGGCTCCACTTTTTGCCAATTCTAATCCAACTCTAGAGCCTCTGATTCCTACTACTGTTACGGAAGCTGCAACTGCAACCACCTCTTCTCCTAACATAACTTTACGTGCTCGCTTTGTTGGCCAAGGATACAAGCAGGTGAGTCAATGCACTTGTTTTATTTATGTCTTATTCTATAGTGTAATAGATGCAACAATTATGCATATGGGACGGTGTTGTGCAGGTTTGCGGGAAAGCAGATGTATGGGGCGATGGCGTTGTGCCACAACTATCAGCTCAGCTTGAGGGTGCACTTAACATTAGTCTGGATGGAGTTTATCACTCACCACTTGGTTCAGATGATGCCACTAGACCATGGTATGGTTCCCCTCATGTCTTGGAACAATGGATTCAACATCTCTTTAATTAACTTCAATGTCATTTTGTTATTAGAATACCATTATACTAAATTTTTTTTATTATTTCATTTTTCTTCTATTATGGATGCCTTTGAATTTGTTACTTTTTAAATTATTACAAAGCCATATTTCTGCACTTCATGTGGATACAGGTTTTACCCTCATCCATATTTTCCTACACTTCTGTTCTTTTCATACAGGTTTTACCCTCATCCATATTTTTGTGGATCATAGTTCATTTATCAATATCTATCTTCTGTATCTTTTATTTTTATGAATTTTATAGTATGTGAATCATTTTACAAGAAAATATGTTACTTTAAGTCTTCATTGTCTCTTCAAATAGAAGAGAAAGAGTTATCAATGAAATAAAAAAGACATTGGACAGTCAGAGGTTCAACTGTTTAATTTTTTTAAAGAAAGAGAGCCTAAGCCCAAAAGAGAAAAGAACTACACAAAAACAACACGGGGAACAAAACTCTCCTTCAAATCCTCATCATGCAAAACTTTAACGATAATTGAACATGAATTATAAATCCACATATTATCCGTAACCTGAATCTCACATCTAGTTAGTGTGTCTGCACATCTATTAGTTTCTCTATGGATATGACTAACAACCACATATGAGTCCTTATTTATCAAGAAATGAATTTTTGTAATTAAGGATCTATCCATAGGTTTATCATTATCATTACTGTTGATATCATTAACCACTAGAGACGAGTCTAGATTCACATAAACAACTTTCAACCCCAAACCCTTAGCCATCATCAGACCTTCATACACTCCCTAGTGATCAGCCACATAAGCACAACAAACTCTAAGATTCTTTGCAAACTCTCCTTTACTTCCTATAGTAATACCACCACACATGCTCCCCTATCTTCTTTACAAACTCCATTGGTATTTAGTTTAACCCACCCCAATGGTGGAGACTCCCAATTGATAAACTGATTCTCCTTTTGTACCCCTTATAATCACATTAGAAACAAGAGTAACATTAGTATAATCATGGGTCAATTTACCAACAAAATTCACCGGATGTGTTGGTCTAACGTAATTCTCCTCATGCAACTCTCTATTTCTCCAACCCCAAATACTATGGCAAGCTAAGATTCAAAAGACTCTCCAATCACATCATATGCTCCTCCCCAAATTAATATTCATGTAGGCTCTAATCCATTGATCCAGGTTTTCACAAAGAAAGATCCAGTCAAATTAATATCCACAACCGATAACCAAAGCGGTATTACCAAATGATAGTCTCTAAACACATGCAATGTATTTTTCTATATACTACCACGATAATTACACATTGCATTGCCTAATCCCATACGACTTTTAGTTAAGTTTGTGATCAGGCGATCATAACACATAATCCAAATGAAATATCGAACCTGTTCTGGAACCTTTTATGGATCTATGTGCTTTCAGGTATAAAGTTGAAAATCTCCTAGAAAATCCATATGAAGTTTTGATGACGACAACAATACTTAAAGTCGGTGAAAATAATTTTCAACTCGTTGAAGATGGTAACCTAACAAGCAGTTCTATAGAACTCTTATGCAGAAGCTTGCATCCCATACAAGCGGTTACATATAACCCTTGTGCAGAAGCTAACATTGAGATTTAAGACATTTTGTTCGTGTGTACTGAGTAGAGGCGTTAATCTTCATTCAACGCTTGTGTCCGTTCATCTTATTCTACTTTAAACTTGTTAATCTCCACAAGAGGTAACTGTTTATATCACTAATCATGCTCACTCGTATGGATCAACTTGAGGGAAATTTTTGTTTTCTGTTGTGTTTTATATCACAATTTCCCTTTAATGTAAGTGACAAATATTCGTCTTCCTTACTTTATACAACTCATATGGAATCTGCTTTAGACTTGGTCTTATTAATACATGATTCATTACATGGGGAATAATACTTGTTAAGCACGTGACTCCGTACACAAGAGGTGGAGGTATGAATTGCGGAGGTTTGAAAAATGATAGTTTGAATAATTGTTTATTTCAAAATCATAATTTAAAAACATTATGATAAAATGCACCAGAAAAACTAAACGGAAAATAAAAAGTTAAGCGATAAGAGATTACACCAGAATTTTTAAAGGTCCGGTTTATAGAAAAGACCTAATCCTCTCTCCAAGAATTGATCTTGAGAGTTTCCACTAATGCTTGAGAGTTTTTAGAAGGCAAAGCTCATAAACCCCCTTATACATCGAAAAATGAAGTTTGAGGTTAACTTCCAACCAAATAACAACTTAGGAATGAAGCGGTTAGTCTTCATGCCAAACATAGATTTTACACGAGTTAATCTCGAACCAATATTGAGTTTTGAGTTGGCTATCCTCCAAGCCAAACAATAATTTTAATACGGGTTAACCACTAAAAAAACTGAGATTTTACATCGGGATGATCTCGACTCGAAAGAGATTTTACACCAGGCTTAGCTCAAGAACCATTGTGGAGAATTTTCTTTGGTTATTCTTTATGAACCCAAAAGTGAGAGCTTTTCCTTAAGCGGTGGAGTTAACAAACCAATATAAGACTTAACCACTAAATCTCCCAAAAAGAGCTTTTAATAGATTTAGCTCACTTCCTAAAGAAGAATAGTCCAATCAAGAGGAAAAAGAATTCTTGATGAATTTTATGATTGTACCCTTTCCAAAACAACTTCCTCACATAAACACAATAACTTTCTCTCAAAGCATTTTGGTTAAAAGTGTGTAAGAATACTAAAATTATTTAGAGAAAAAGGGAGAGAAGAGAAGTGCAGAGTTTCTCATGGTTTCTAGATAAGAAACAATGAAGGGGAAAACCTTTATTTATAGGCTGAAAGATGGTACAAAAAAGAAAATGATCCATGGGCAAAAATGATTATCTAATCAATTAGGTCATAAACCTAATCGGTTAGGTACCACAAATAATCAATTGTTTGAGTCCATTTTTGAAGGTTTTAATAGTGATTCATTGTCAATCATTCAGACACTGTCACTATCGATTATGGAATTAATTTTCCCCTGTCTAATCAATTACCGTAAGGCTCTAATCGATTAGGCAGTTCAAAAACTTTTCTTAATCAATATGATAATCCTCAAATCATTTGGTTATGTTCCAAAAACATATTAGATGATTTTTAGTGAGTGTTAGTTTTAGCCATATTACTTTACAAAATGCCCTTGTGTTTTTACAAAACACTGATCACTTAGACAAACACGATCGAGCGAGCCTTCACAACTCCCTCTTGTAGCGACTGGATTTTTAATCAAAGCCGCCACTATTAGTTTTTATCCTAGGGAAGAGAATCTAACAGAAAATCCTAATTCGCAGACAGAGATTCTAGGTTTCAGACTCAATTAGACGAAAGGAAGGTGTTAGGCACCTTTCATCTACCTTGCTCACAAGGATACTAGGTTTTAGGTTTAGGTTTCGGGTAAACACGGTTTTAAGTTTTAATTAGGAGGACTCACCACGATTTTTGATCGTATGCATACGTATCCTCTTATGAGGAATCAGAGTCCCAATTCGTAGTTCGTATGGATAGATGTTTTTTAGGGGTTGCAAATGTACTTTGAATCACCTCGCATTTTGGCCGGGAGTAGCGATTGCGGAGATTTTGGCTAAATGCGCGATTAGTCATGATCCGTTTGAAACCCTTTTGCAAAAAACAGTTGTTTAGCTTAGTATGTTGCAAAAAAAATAGTTTGATGATTTGTTGCGTGTTTTTAATCGTATTAACTGCAAAAAATCTTGATTAATGTATGATTAAATATTTGATGCAAATAAGATAATAAAATAATATATGCATTTTTTATATAAAATAATTTATATGTTAGTATAGTAATATTTAAATATTAAATAAAATATATTATTAATAATAATAATTAATAATAATTAATAATAATTAATTATGGAAAGAAATAAGAGTTATAATGATAATATAATAATATATACAAAAATAAGAAATAAATAATATTTACATATGATATAAAAATAATAATAATAATAATAATAAAATAAAATTAATAGATAATAATTATAATAAGAAAAAAAATTAAAATATAATAAAAATGTAGAAAATAATTAATTTAGGCAGGGGGTGTGTTTTCTAGTTATGCAGTAAAATAAGGGGGTGCTGGAAGTTAAGCTCAGGCTGACCCAATTATAGTTCAGGCATGGGGGCGTGGTTAATTTTGATGTTTAGCAATTAACTGAAAAGGGGGCATGGAAAGCGTTGAGCTTAAACCCAACACGCTTGGGAAGAGATCTGGCTGGATTATATGTGACGCGAAGCACGACTTCACCATGGAATTTGGCCTAACGGTCCTTTGATCGTTATCAAATAGATGATGATGAGGGAACATGTTAATTATCATGGACACACGTACACCAGATCAAACGGATTACATATGTTATTTTAATTCATTCTCAGTGTTTTAGTTTACAGCAACCTCTCCCTTCCTCTCTCACAATACGGCCCAAAACCCTTCTTCCCTAACCTTCCAAACCCTAACCCTTCTGCTCTCTCTCTTTCTCTCTCGACACACCTTACAGTGACTGCGACGACTCACCCTACAACCCCTCGGCCGTCGTGTCCAGCCAAACCCCAACCAACAATCAACCAATAAAAGAGAATAAAGCAAACAAAAAAAAGCTAAGTTGTTAAATACCCTCTCGCGATTTCTGGATTTATGAGTTCCGATTTGGCTAAGCTCTTTTTTCTCTCCTTTTTGCAGATTTCAGTACAACTTTGACGATAGTGGTGATAGCGATTGAGAGTCCGGCGTTGGGGAGGGTGGCATGGCGGCGACACAACTAGGGTTCCAGATATTGGAACCCCAGTTGCTCTCCTCTACTGTTGTTGTTCTTCCTTTTGTTCTCCGTCAAAATCCGGCCTCTCTCTGTACTGTCTTGAAGTTTTTGATTTCCAGCCTCCCCGTTCTTCTTCGTCCTCTATATTTTCTCCTATGTATCTCGAAGTCGTCCCCCCTTTACTGTATCATTCTTCCTAGTATTTATAAGTTGATTTTAGGGTTTTGTTAGAGGTTACAGTTAACATGAATTAGGGGTCTTTTGAGTCTCCATGGCACTCAACCGGTCTTCTAGCTGCTTGTATCTATCCTCGGCAGGAGGATATTGCTCATCATCAAAATCAGTATCATTATCAGAAACTGCAGGATTGGGGCCCTTTTCTTCTTCTTGGTTTTCCCCGTCCTTGGACGAGGAGATCAGATCAGCTTCTTGTTGCAACCTATTCCCAAACCTTTTGCCCATACTCAGAAGAACCACCTTCTTCTTCTTTTTCTTCTTCTCCTTCAGAATGAGAGTCTTCAAATCTTCTTTCCCTTTAGCCAAGTTCAAGAACATCTCTTGGAATTGGGCATTATGTGTCTGAAGAGCTTTGATGGCTTGATCAATAGGCATTTCAGAAGACATTTCTGCTGAAATAAACAGCGAAGGAGAAGAGAAACCTGTAATGGTACCTGTAATGATGTGCATGATAATGGGATGTGTATGTAATGATTTCAAAGACTTTGAGAGATTTAAATTTGCAAACCAAAAATAAACAAATTTTATTAGAATAACTTGTAAAAGGTTCAACGGTGCCTTTGAGGCGTTACAAAGAAGTAAATGAAAAAACAAATCTAAAACTAAAAAAGCAGAAATCAAAAATCCCATGGACGCTTCCCCTTCGTGCTGACGTAGTCATTGATCACTTTTTCTTTCTCGAGCTGCCTGGTGAGCTTCAAAATCTTCCTTTCTTGCTCATGATACTTCTCTCGGTAAGTATCCCTTTCCTCTCTCAGTTGAATCCAATACCTCTTCAATGCCCCAAGATCAGTAGGCATATAAGGATAAATAACCGTGTAAGGAACGCCTTCTTCATTAGTGGGCTCCATAATCACAGGCAATACGGCTTCATAAGACATCCCGAGCTTCTGCGCACGAGCTCAGACCCATTGGAGGTAAGGCTGCATAGGAAGGGAAGTCCTTGGTCCCAACTCTTGAGGTTCAGATCTGTTCACCATACCCCAAGCTCGTATGAACCTTCGGTGATGCTCCTTAATGTCTTCCTTTTAGTCAAAGGCAATATCCTTAAGAAGTAGCTCATGGGGACCGTCTCTCCTAGCATGACCAAATTGTCGCAAAGCTAAACAAGGACTGTAGGTTATACCCCCTCTGATTCCAAGCAATGGGACATTAGGATATCCCCCATAACGATCAATGACAACAGTATCTTCCATAGCCCGGGAGCACCAAAGAATATCCGTATGGGCAAGTGACATTATTCTGTAGGACCAACCCAAATCTTCTTCGTTCTTCAACACAGACTTAGGGAGGTGCGAAATAAACCACCTTGACAGCAAAGGCATACAACACATAAGAGTCCCTCTTCTTCGCACAGTACGAGTGTAGAGGGCATGCAAGATATCACCCAGTAGAGTAGGCACAGAATTGCGAGAAAGGAAGATTTTAACCGCATTCACATCTATAAAGGAATCTGGATTCGGGAAGAGAACCAAACCGTAGATAAGGAGAGCCAAGATATCTTCGAAAGCCTGAAAATCCAAACTATCCCAGAATAGTTGAGCTTGATCTATCATAAACTTGGCTAAGAAACCTTC